GAGAGAGAGAGAGAGAAACGTGAAGAATGAAAATCAGAGGATGGTACAAAAAGGGAGACAGACAATTTTATTATAAAGACAAATAGACAGCTTTATTGCTGTCTTCTGGGATAGCCTACTCCAGAATGCAAGGCAGGAAGACACGTGAGAATAATCACAGAGCGAGCGTATCGTGACGCTGGCAGAAGAAGCGCGAGTGCGAGCGCGAGTGCATATAATGATAAACAAATTCACTCGTCGCTGTATTTATATAATAAATAAACTACATTATTTATTGAAGAAGAGAGAAACGGAGAGGAGAAGAAGGGAGCCGAAGAAGTGGGTGGATTTCATTTGACAAGAAAGCTTTGACGTGCACCGCGGAATAAACATCTCCTGATAGCTCTAAGCAAAGAGACGGCTAAACCACGAATGATGGGTAACAAAAGGAAACGTAAACGGTGTGACTGATGTACCAATAAACCGCTGCCTGGACAGAAGAAATGTGGAATGTACGAAACATCGAATGTATGAAATGTGAGAGGAAGATGAGTATTCTGGAAGTGAAATTCCCGAGAAAACGAGAGAAAAGATCGTCGCGTGAAGTAACACAGTTGAATTAATAAGCGTACGTAATTATAGATAGGAAAATCGATGAGTGCACATTTATACAATTATCGTGATATTGGAATTAGTGATATATGGAAATAAGGTGGATGAACAAACGGCGTATCTCAGAATTTTCAAAGATAAGGATTTCCTTTAACTAAGGTAAAATTTTCATCAAGAAGCGTAAGAATACGAGGTAAATCCGAAAGAATTCGTTATGTCTTTCCGCATCGATCGGCTCGCAAAAGTCCCTTTTCCCGCAGGCCAAAACCGTAATAGAAAGACAAAGGATTGTTAGCGGCTTGTTATCGGCTTGATATCGGAAGTTGACACAAATGTGCCGCCTGTCTTCCGTATGCATGGCCGTATGATAACCGTCTGCAACTTCTTCCGCCTTATTTCTGCTTTCGTTTCTTCCTGTTTGCCGTCGATCAGCGGAGAGACATCACGGAGATTTCTTTCTTGCAAAGCAAACGCGTCGTTAAGGAATCAAAGACATCGAGACACCGCCTTCGGCGAAAAACTTGTCCTTAACAATTTTTAAATAATCCCGAATTTTTTTGTAAGTCTATTTACAGTTGTTCGACCGTTTCACATCTTTGCTTTCCAAAAATCATCCTCCCGAAAGTTAATATGAACGTTAAACTTCTGTTGTTTGAGCTCGATTCGTGATAAAAAAATATTCCGATCACTTGGAAAAATGTTTTCGTCTGGCGACCTTTCGCATTTTCGCTGGTAGACGGTGCGATGCTCGATAACGGCGCATTCATATTTTCAATCGGCAGGAGAGGGAAGATATGAAGGTACACGATTGAGATATTTCGCAATTACGTCACGTAGACAAAGCCGGACTCGAAATTAAAGTTTCCGCCGCGCGGAAATTCGAGAAACACGCGATCATTGCGCGCGCATTGTCGCGCCGAAATAGAATGAAATGCAGAAACGGGCGGCACAAAATATTCTTCGTGCGAGCAACCGGCCTTTCCATATCGACACTTTATCACCCTATCGATTTATCGGATGTACGTGCCTGTCAGGTTGAGGCTTGTGCACGTCGTTTTCACCTTCGCCAGAATGAAAAACGTGCCTTTTATAAATATTGCGACGAGCGCGATACATTGAAATCGGCGCGATTCTGGCGCGAATCCAGACGTAAAGTGGGACTCGCTCGAGTGAACCGAGGTGGAGGAGTGATCTAACTCGAAAAGAAAATAAAAAAATAAAAAAAGAACAAAGAAAAAAAAAGAACAGAAAGAGAGATCATTATTTTCTTCGCGTTTGCATAACGCGTTTCGCAATTGATCGAGAAAACCTTCGAAAAAACGCGAGTATTACGTAAAAATAATCGACGATTTGTTCGGTAAAAGAACAGTGGATATATTTTTTCTTTAATTACTTTTTTTTGCAAGTTTAAATTACGGTGATATTACATGCGGCTATTTTGCAGCGATGTTGACGTGGTGTCCCGAGAGAATAACCTCGCACGCGTGGTATTACCAGTTGAAAAGAGCGTCAGGGGCATTTGCATTCGATTTTGCGAAGTGCGCTCAGGGGGTGCGAAGAGAAGGGTGTGAGGGTTAAATATTTTTATCGTCGATCGATGCGACAAGTCGAATGCGACACGCCGGGGGACTATTATAAAAGCGTATGTATGCGGCCGCCCCCTCGCTTATCTCCGCCACGCCTTTTTGACCCTCCGCTACACATATAATTAGACGGTAGGAGAAAAGGATTAATCGAGAGATGTGTATGAGGGCGTTTCCGATTAAATTATCCCGTCGCTCAATGTCGCCGGCGCCGAAATTACGTTAATTAAATCGCCGGGCGCTGTCCGCCCGATCAAAGCGACCGTAAAAACGCGCCGGCCACGCGTAACAGAATTTTTTAAACTTAAATTGAGACGTCAACGGACCGATAAATTTTGTAATTAAGAAACTTTTGTCACTCGTCCCCTTTTTATTTTATACGCAAGGCAAAAGAGCGACAAGAGATGCAAAGGCCTTTGTGTTTTTTGTCAATAGTTTCCGCGACGCTGCTTTGAAATTTAAATGCGAAAGATTACGGATTAAACAACTTTTTATTGGAAAGCTTCTTACATCCGTGTTTCATTTCTATTTACAATATATCAACGGAGAAAAAAAAATATATTTAAATCGTGACTGAAGATTTAATATATATTTGAATCGATTTCGAAACGTGATGGCTTCGCAAAGATCTGTCGTGTCGTTCGCGTTTGCATTTGTCGTTTAAGCGTCATCGAGATATTAAACGCGGACCGTCGAGAACTTTTCCGAGAATTTTTCAAAAAATCCCATCCTTCAAACGTCAAAGCGAAACCTTTTGCGAGACGCGTCCCCGAGAGCTTACACATTTCGCAGTGATCGATGCAATCCCATGGTATTTTCGCGAGGGGATCGCTAGTTGTACCATCAAATAAAAAACGCGGCGCGGCGTATCGCTTTATTCTAATTAAAGCCCCTAAGACCCTAATTAAAAATAATGAATTTTTTTTCCTCGTCATACAATCTGCCGCTTCGGCAACCTTGCCTCGTTAAAAGCGCGTTTCTTCTCTGTTTTTTTATCCTGTCAACGCAACACCCCCTTCTTCCTCTCCCTCAACGAAATAAAATGGGAAAAGTAGTTATATGGGGTTTTGCGCAAATATTAAAGCGATGTCGCCGTGAAACCGGAAAGAAAGTGTCGAAGCAACCCACATGCGACACGCGTAAAAAAATTCCGTACGCTTTCACGCGTAGCCATTTTCTTTTATGGGGTCAATTCAGGAAATTATATCCCGCTCGTTTCTCTCCTCCCCCTTTGCCGACACATCGACGAACAGAACGGTCAAGTTTTCCTTTTTGCGCCGTCCTATTTCCTCCATGAGAAAATACGATCGCGATGCGGCCTCGTCGTCGTCGTATCGCCACGCGTTATCTTACGTTGTGTTTTCGAGATGTACCAGTTGATATACCATCCCCCCCATCTCACCCTCGCGCCTTCACTGAAAGGTTTCTCCCTGTGCGACGCGTGTCCAGCATTAACGATGAAATATCGCTCGCCGATGCGCCGCTTTCCATTATCGAATCATGTCGCCCAGAAATTCCAATACTTTCGTTTGTACTACTAATAAAAAAAAAAAAAAAAAAAGAATAGAATATAAAGCAATAATAACCGAGAATAACCGAGAGAACTTTCGAGAGAGTGAGAGCTCGGAGGATCGCGAATTTTCGAACTTCAGCAGCGGTGCAAAAATTATCCGCATAATTTTCGCTCGTTTACTTCGACATTTCGTTAATTCATTACCCGATATCGAAGGTTTTCTCGCAGAATCGCCCCTTTTATTCGAATATACGTTCCAAACTCGCGTTCGCTTTATAAGGACGTTTTTCAACAAAGTGAATTATCTCTTCTCTGTTCTCGCTCGAAACACATTTCATATTTCAACGATTAATCCCAGATCAAGATAATAAGTAATACAAAAATAAATTACATAAGAGAATCGGGGGTTTTTTTTTCTGAGAGAGCCTCGCCTTCGCCGGCTCGTGGAACCTCTCACGTCAAGCCGCCGTTGAAATATCGGGAACATATTTACCAATGGGACACCCCCGTGCCCGCGGGAGAGAGGGAACAACGGCAAAAGAGAGGAGAATTCCCCACTCGTCCTCCGAATGGAAATTCAACAAGTGTCGGGACGAGGGCGCGAGGGAGAACGGCACGGGCTTCCGCCGTAACTTTCCATGCCGGCGGGTGGCGTGGCTGCGTCCGCCCCCGGAAAAGGGGTAAAGCTAACACGGGAATTAACCGCCGGTTACCGACACTCAAAGCGATACCACCCGCTCGCGCGGGCAGCCGCAATTTGTCTTAATAATTACGGCCGCAAAGGGTGTCGCGTCGCCGCCCCCTTTACCTCCCCCTCCCCCTCTCCGCGTCAGGATAATTACGGCGAGGTGTACCCGCAGCGGCGCGGAAGCCTCTTAAGCTAATTAGGTAAAGATTGCCCGCGCACGAAGAATACAATTCCCGCGCAGGCGAAACCGCCTCGAACGTGCACGTCGCACGATTGCACAAAGTGGAATTTTACCCCGATCGTCCCTAGCGTGTCCTTAACGTGCCACGCTGAATAGCTGCACTTCAACCCGTTAGGATTTCTGAATTTGTTGCAATTGAATCACGCTGAAGTAGAGAACGCCAGGCGAGAATCAAATTAATAATCACGGATCGAATAATTTTCAATTTTTTATCAAACGAATTTTTATTTAACAGATCCAAGGGGGGGTGGGTAATTAGTCGGCGAACTCGCTCTTGGGTGTCTAATAATTTTCCTGTTTTATATATATATATATTTTTTTTTTATTTGTTTTTTCTGCGTGTTTCGTCTAATTGTCCGAATCTCCGAGAGAAAAGATGTGGCTTCATTTAAGAAACTAAGGACAGAATTTTCGCGGGCGCGATTTCACGGTTGTCGGCTGCCTTTGTGGCGAGCGATGGAGTTCGGAGACGACCTTCGTCGCGCGGATCGATTCGCTTTACCTGAAGTCCTCCAGGCGTGCTTGGAAGGCCTCCTTGCTCACCACGTCGTATTTTTGCGTCTTGCTCTCGTCCCTGGGCACAGACACCAACGGCCACGTGCTCATGTTGTGGAGATCCTGGTCGGTTATGGCGAATCTCTGCGTCAAGTTCGACCTGGTTGTTGGGCAGGACGTAAAGTGAATTAGTAAGAAGGAAATAGTTCGCCTGGACGGAGTTTCCTAAGCGTATCAAGCACAAAGGTGACCGTACACGTAAAAATAATGTACGTCAGAGAACAAGAATATACATATTCGTTAGATAATTAATCACGAAAAGAATGAAAAAAAAATAAGAAATTCGAAAATCTCGGTAGTTTCATAAGAAAAATAATTTTATATTCAAATGAATTTAAATAATTTATATAAATTGAATTTTTAATTGTGGATAGTTTAAGTTTGAATACGATTTCTGTAAAGTAAGTACGATTCTGTAAGTTTGTAATCATCTCCTTTAGATGAGCGTGGAAAATACCGAAAGCTGCAATTCTTGCAGAAAATTCTTCCGCCAGTTCGATGTATTGTCACGAAAATATTTAAAGTTAACCCAGAATACCGGCAACAGTTTTGTTCTAATTGATTAGGACCTTCCGTTGTCGCGACCGCTAAGATATTCCGCGAAAAGCTTGTTTTGCAGAAACGTGTCGCATCTGCGCGTTTCGTCTCGATTGGTTTCGTCTCGATCGGAAGACTCGAGGAAAGCTATTCATTCTGATTACGCGAAATGCAGTGGAAGAGGCGATACTCGGCCTCGATCGAATAAAGAGACGCATTTCGTCGCTGTGGCACGAACACATGATCGGATCGATGGGACTTTTAGACACTCTGGCAGAGCAATAATTGCACAAAGCGTATCAAAAATACGAAGAGATAAGGAAACGTAAAAAGAGATTATATTAAGTAAATTAAATATTAAATTATATTATTACTTAATCGATTGGTATTGGCAAACGACGGAATTTAAAGTTGAAAATGGACATTGTCTGTGAGGGGAAAAATTGGAAAAAGTGAAACGCATACCTCAAAGTGTTGCCATTGGTGTAGATGAAGAAGGCCACTTCGGATCTCTCCAGCTGCATCCTGGTAACCATTTTGCCCAGATCCGTCGCTATCGTCACCTGCAATTGTCGTTGAGCACGCATCGAGCACTATCAGAGCCAACGCACTTTCATCATGATATCGAAAGAAGATTTTGCTAAAGTATATAAAAATGTGGCCACAGAGATGCAAAAATATAATATAAATTTTTTAAATATCAATTATTTACATAATTATTTTTGTAAAATAATAATTTTTGTTAAATACTTATGTAAAAACTTTTGATTCTTCCAAGTTTTGAGTGTCTTCGAGGAAAGAGAAAACTTAGTTCAAGAGAATTATTTTCGGATCTGTGTCTGGTCCGAATTTTTAGATTTCTTCAAATATCATCCTTTCTGTGCTAAATTAAAAAAAAAAAAAGAAGAAGAATTTGAAATAGAATTACAAAAGAAAGAAGTAAAAAATTTAATCGTCTTTGAAGGAACGTAGCTTTCTGACAGCTCGAGGAGAATCTCGCAATTCCAATCCGGTGCATCCGGGGATGCTTCCTGTGTACCAAGGAATTGCTCGAGTCGATATAATGGTCCAGGGTCCTCGCGGAACTTCCGTTAGAAGACGGGGCTAATTGTAAGATGCGAAAGGACACCGAGTGGACGACCTCGAGTGGCAGAACATTCACGGGACATGCAACGAGTGGCACTCGAAATCCCGAGCGATTGGGAAGTCACTCTTGGGTCTCGTCTCGTCTCAACTCGGCGGAAAAATATCTTCTACACCAGTATACGAGGGCTGATTTCCTCGGTTTCTCACTCGTGAAATGGACCGTCCCGTACGTCGTATTTCTTGCACGCTCCGCGCAATGCAGAGGACATTTCGTTTTACGGAGATTTATCAATTTACGAATTCTAGCTTCCGATTCGAATTCGTTGAATTCCCGATCACGCGGACTCGCGAAGATCCTTTATTAGAACGATGGAGCTCGGGAACGAGTCATAAATCTCTGCCACCTCGCGAGAATTCCTTACAAAGTTTTCGCCTGTTTGTTTCGCCATATTCCTCGGCCACATTAAGGAATCTCATCAGTCTGAGAGGCTCGCAAAGTTTTCTCCTTGTTTTCATTTTAACCCAACTCGGCTCGCGGCAACAAGCGATATCGCGTTAATGGCGCCGGTGATAAAATCGCTTTACGATCCTTAGGGATATAATTATTGGCATGCTTGCAAATTGCACGGCAATCGCAATTAAGTGTCGCGCCGTTGACGTATCGTCGTCAATCTTTCCCGTCCATCGAACGGGAGTAACTCTCGCCGCGAGCCATCGAGCTTTCGTATTCACGGCCGAAGAAGTTGTATCTGACGCCTCCGTAAACCTCACGATATCACTATAATAGAGAAAGTTTCTCCGCCAACTCGCTTTCTGCCAATAAAGCGCTCGTACAGCGGAATAATCCGTGGCTTTGCCGGCGTGCCATGAACTTTTAAGCCAGACGAGCCCGGCATCCCGGGCCGGGTCAGAGGTCGTCCTGCTTATCCTTATTCCGACGAGGTCTCAGCAAAGCTTGCTGGAAGGATCAGGATAAAACCGGAACGAACGTGCACACGGCAGGACGTCTGTAATATGTTGATTTTAATAATCACTGTGGCCCGATTGCGCCAACATTATTTTGACGAGATTTAAACATATATATATATCTTTGTCTTTCTTTCTAAATAAATAAAGACAGATACATATTTAAGTCACTCAAAATAACGTTGGTGCAATCGGGCCTGAATCCGATTAAAAATTTATGATCGTTCTAACACATATATGTAGCACCAAGATTATCATTTGTTATTAAAATTTCCACTTTAAACACGTTTGATTTGATATTGGATGTACGAATTCTTAAAGATATTTACAGCTGTTGTTTGCTCTTTTTAATTTTTGTCGATCTTACTTATTCTGTGGAATCCTGTTTTTTGTGAACAAAATCTAATTACTATGGCAAATTTTTCCTTACGGCAAAATTGTGTGAATTTAAGTAAATCCTATTCAATCCTGTTTGGCTCTACAAATATTTGATCCAACAAAGCCTCGGCGTTTCTTTATCATAATTTTCTCGTGTCCTAGATTATTTCTCTCTCATTCCCTGAATTTTAGCCGGCGGCTACATTTTCATTCTCTGTATCGCACTCATTCGTTCCGTTCTCATTTAACATGCCATCACAAAAGTAATTAATGTAAAATGATTTATATAATGTTATATAACGTTAAATTCTCATTAATGAATATTCTCTAATGAATATTCGTTGCGACAAAATTTCGCTTTAACCGGCATTAACGAATGCTTGATAATGGGGAAATTAAAAGGAAGGCAATTCCTCGAATCTGGTCTCGCAGCTGAAAGAGGAATTTCCATAAGCGCGACGTTAAATTGTAGGGGGTGTGTCGCGGAGAACGGGGTGCACCGACGGGTGTGCGAGAAACGCTCATAGAAAAGCACGAGTACGATCGCAAACATAGATATATCTAACGTCGCCGACAATGATGACCATTCTTTGCAACGTTCGTCAAACAAGTAACTCGAGAGCGAAAATCGTCGTTTCCCATAACCGACGTCGCATCACGATGAATTTCGATTTGATCTACCCTCCGCTTTCAAGAGGGTTGCGTCTAATATCTTTGTGGACAGGACGATTAAGTAGAAGTGGAAATTTTCTCTCCACGACGAGGGGGAGCGACGCGATAATAATTTACAATTTACAAAGACTAAGATTATATTCTACACATTACGGTCAATCAAAATTCATTTGCTTATCTAACGTAAACCTCTTAAATTCAAAATTGATATAAATTTTAGGAAGAAAAGAGTCGTAAAATTATTCGGTATTTTTAAAGATAATATAATAATATTTAAATATTTAAATATTTTTCACAAACATTTATCCCGCATCAAAAGATCTAACGTAAGAAATAAATTTAACAAGAAGTTTAATATTTTACATTTTATAAAAGTAATTAAAATGAGCATAAAAAGGTGATTAAAATAAAATCTGCATCGGCGAAAATGAAGAGCGAAAAATCCCTGGACGTTTCCATTTTATTAAAAAGCGAAACAACGTATCTGTTTTCAGTACGTATATCGACGAAGGAGATTTTATAAATTGAAAATTTGCTATTTTCAGTATTATATTTTCCTTGCGACGGCAGGCTAAACATCAATTACGTCACTGTCCCCTCCCATCTCGCTCTCTTCTTATTTTATTTCATCATCCCTTGCACGCGCTCGTCACCTCGAAGTGGCAAAAGGGCGACGATGGCGCTCGGCGTGTATATATGCGAGTCGATAATCCGAACGTGCGTGAGAGAATAAAATAAAAATAGCCGGCTCGTCGCGCGAGAACGGCTGTAATGTAATTTCTTGTGCCGTGCCGAGCGTCGCAGCTCAGATCGGAAATCGAATCGACGCGATTCCCAACGGAGCGACGGATGTTTTCATTAACAACAGCCTCAAGCGCTGCAGACCCACCCGCTCACCCCCGCGGACGGAAAAGCGAAATCATTTTCGCCATTGTAAGCCGCTCGCATCTCCTCGCCGATAGCCGATAAACGACGAACGTATACCGTTTGTTATCGCTCGATCGTGAAATTACGATCGCGCGTCGCGATGAAAACTCGCGCGAGCTCACGTCTCGATATCAAAGCAAAGCGACGACGAAACGGAGTCGCTCGTTTATCTTTTCGTTTTGAATCACGATAGATTTTGTCACGCTTTCGGTAAGACATTATTGAAGATATTATTGAAGTTTCTTTCCTATTATAAGTTTCTTTCCTTTTATATTAATAACGCATCCATGTTATTCGTTTACGAAACGTGGTAGTCAAAATTTCAGATTTACTCTCCTTAAAGTTAAAAAACGGGACTTTTTGGAAGATAAGACCGATCGCTTTTATTATAATTTATTAATTAAAATTTTGCATTTTGCATTACGTCAGCCATTTATTTTCCTTTTACTTTTTATTTAAGATAAAAAAATTATATTTCAAATAACACCTCGATCACTCTACGGTTGCTATTCGCAGATGTAAAAGCGCGTAGGTGCGGTGTATTTGTTCATCCCTCTTGTTACCCTCAAACGAACCCCGTTGCCGCCGATCGATCATCGGTGAATTATATCAACCCAGCCTAATTACGCTCTTTACATAATTATCAGGGCGCAACGTAAGCGGGCGCGCGAGCGCGTGGAGCTTTTCGCCGTTTACCTGAGACAACTAGCTGAACTAGCAATTTATAAAACTGGAGTTTCCGCGAAACTCACACATAGAATATATATGAGATAGAACCGTCGGATAAATAATTTAATATATGGACTCTTCGAGGAAACTTCAGAGCTAACATTTTGCTTTCAGATAACAGGAACACTCCTCGTATGAATATAAACCGCTTCCGCTTATAATGCCAAATGCAAAATTTCAGGTAGGGAAAAATAAAACGGGGAAAACGCATTCCGCACGACCGATTCTGATTTCTGTCGGATTTTTCTGACGGATTCTACCCTCTGGTCGTCAAGACGCAAAGTTGATTAATTAAATCCCTTTGTTTTCTTTACTTTTTTTCTTAACCTTCCCTCTCGACTTGGCTTTTGGTTCACATTTAGCTACTTTTTCCTTTCCTTTTCTTTTTATATATGTATTTCGCATTTTCTCTCTCTACTCACGTTTTCTGTTTTTTTTTCCATCCCAATTTGATGTATTAGTAATTCCTGATAAGAGCAATCTCGATTCGCTCACCTGCGTCTCTATGTCAGACACCTCCTGGCGGTAGATCAGGATGTCATGGAGAGTGTTGGCGGTTTGCACGATCAGGGCGAGGATCGGTATGAAGGGCAGCACCAGCATCTGCAGCAGCTGGATCCGCCGACCGCGACGATGCGCCGGGTCGGTCGCGCGGGCCCAACACGACTTCTTCCGGTTCGCCTTGGCCGAAACATCGTCCGATGAGAGGCTCCTCACGGAGCTCACTTCCGCCACGCAAGAACCGTTGCGCGGCGACATACTGGAAAGACCGTGGGAATTACGGTGTGTTGAACGCCGAGTAAAATTTTATTTTTAAATTGTGCAAAATTGCTCTCCGAGCATAAGCTTTGCCTATGTACAATCGATGTACGCCTCGTGCACCCGAGGGAATTTCGAAAATTAAATTTAATTTTAAAATGCAATTGCGATCGCAAGCGCAGTCACAAGCACAATCGTAATTTTGAAAGTTTTGAAAAGGTGAATACAGAATGTAATTGTTAACTTAAAAGTGGAACTTTATTTTAGTTTGGAAATTATTTGACATTTCGAAAATTCGATGATCCTCAGGATTTTTGGAAATTTTGGAATGTGAAAATTTGACGATTGAAGATTTTAAAAGGCGGGGATAAATCGGCAAATGTGCAAGTTCGAAGAGAGCCGGGCAATTCAAGTCTCTGACAATTCCGGACTCGGGAGGGATATAATTCAACGGTTCGCGAAAGCCCAGAGACAGATTGATCTAACAATCCAGATGCGTCAACGTAATCGTCGCGTAATTGGAATTCAGAAGCCACGGGGAATTCGATTAAAAATCCATTATCAGCTCGATTGTGCGTCGCGAAATTGCTCGGAATGGAATTGTTCGACGAGAGGCGAGCTTTTATTTCCGACTTGTCGGCTGATACGTCGCCGCGCCGTGCGCACGTCCGAACTTTCGCGATCGCGAAATAATGATAAGCTTGGTGGATAACAAGCCGGCCGGCGGGTCTCCGTAATTAAACACGACGTGAGAATAGAAAACGCGTCACAGTCGACTACGCCGTGAGAGGAAAAAAGAGGGTTTTCTCTCTCTCTCTCTCTGTCTCCGCTCAAAGCTTCGCAATTGCGAAGGGGATGCAATTCGAGCTCGATAACAGAAAGCATCACGTAAATGTTCACGTAATTCTCCTTTCCGTTTTTCTTCTCTTTTTTTTTAACAACTTAGAGCGTTATTCTCTTTTTGTCCTTTGTCCTATTTTTTCCGCGTTATCGAGTTCCGTGAAGAGAAATAAAACAAGTGCTGCAATATCTAACATCGGTGTTGACACTCAGCGAGAGAGAGAGA